TAATTCATCTGTGACATGACGAAGTCTTTTGGAGACAAACAGTCTCCGAGTACAGTTTCTGAAGATGAAAAGAAACTTAACATATTACCTTATATACATATATTACCTTATATTAATTAATATTTATCTAATGAAAAATGTTAATGAAACGCATTTCACAATATAAATGCACAATATATGCATTTCCTACTTTATATAATTTATCGAATGCAAAGAATTAAATGTAACTATATAACAAAAATTTGTCGCATTAATTAATTATATAAATAAATAAACAATCAAAATGTAAAAAAAAAATTTAAGTTATGAAACGAAATTTGTTATAAACAATTAAACTTTCATCGCACATTGCATACAAAAATATTATTGCTATAAGACAAATGATGTGCTTTACATAAATTAATACGTTGATTAATTAGGATCTCTGATAATTATTATCCGATTGCAATCGATAATGCATCTCGCGGACGATATTTAATGCGACGAGAGTCATGCTTCAGGGACGCGAATGTGTCACGAGCGTGTGTCGCTTGCGACATCGAAACTGCACATATCTTCGCGTGGCTTAAGTGTACGTTTGACCCGTGCATTCGCGCAGAAAACGCAGATGATGGCAATAAATCGATGTACCATAAAGATAATCACAGTGATCTGTTTCCGGGATGAAAGCTTCTCCACCCGGGTACGTCAAGTAACAAGTCATTTACGTCATTTACCGCGTATTTGCTACTCCCGTTATCTCCGGTCTGTAAAAGTCTTTTGTGATAATGTCTGGAAGCTGATAGCCCGGCTATCTAAAATAATTTCAACACGTTCTCGCGCGTGGGAATGAAAATCCATATAGAATTTCTTACGAAAAGAATAACGGATAACGGATGGCTTTAATAATAAACATTTCATTTTGGGAAAAATATCGATGATACGAAGCAATCTTTTGTTTTTTTTGTTTTTTTTTTTTTTCTGAAGAATTAGACTCGAAAAGATTTAATTTATCGTGCTCGCTATTATTTAACAATTTTTTTTTACGATCCCGCGAATTACCTCGCGGTCACCTATAGCGAATGGCCAGCATCAATTTCGAATCATCGGTGAACAAGTGGTAACATCCGGTCTTTCACAGACGACAGTGAAAATAATTTCTTGTTTCGGGGAAGCGAGTGCAGTTTACCGAGGCTTTCCACGAACTTTTCTCCACATCTGTCAGACAGTTCCTCCTCGATCGAAAAAACGGCACTTGTCCGACTAATGGCTCGTCAAAACGACGCAACAGCCGAGAAGGCTCGCATTCCTGTGCTGAAATACCAGGGCCAAACAAAGCGAAATCTAGATGTACACACGATAATGTAAACATCTTTATCGACGTTTAAACAAATTATACCGAACGCAAATCTTGCAACTCGTAAATCAAACTCCGAACTCTCTCCGCGCGTTCGCATTGAATGAATCTCGGCAAGCGAAATATTTTTCTCGGATGAAGAAAGATACGCAAATTTGTGATAAGATTGTATGCCCTTCTCTCAATTTGTAAGCTGCAGTCGACCTACTTAACAGCTTTCTACGGATCCCCGTTTTTACGGGTGGAAATTGCACCGTCATTTTTACGACATTGTTTGTGACAGTTATTGTCATCAACAGTGATGTTCGCGGTCGGTTATTTGAGGTCGGTAATTAATGAGATAATTAAATCTGATATTTTGGACAGTTCACCAACGAATTATTTACTCGTCATTTATTGTCATTAAATAAAATTGTTGACGAGAGAAACGCGACTTTAATGCGATGCATTTTTCGATAGAAATATCGAATGATATCGATATCGAAAAAAAGAGCTTCATAATTGCATGAATTGCAAAAGTAGCCACGTATCGGAAGTTAATAACAAATCGAAATAAATATTAATATTTATGACGTATTAATATTTGTGAGACATACATTTATAAATTTGAAAAATAAAAAGAATGTTTATTACATCATTAAAATTTATAATAAAAATACATAAATTATTAACGCGTTTAACATTTTATTTTATTTACGAATGAAAATAGCTGAGTACTGATTTCATTATCTTGAATAGAGATTAAAAAAAAGAGCACTCTAGTCGCGCCTAAATTCATATCACTTATTTAAACGATGATATTACGATCTACGCAGCGTAGTAAGCAGAAGAATGCGATTCGCTTTTAAAGTCCAAACTTTATACGATCGTTTCCTGCGGTCGTTTAAACTCACACATTCCTCCCCCTCCCCCCTCTCTTTACATACTATATAAATACAAAATAAAGAGTATGGGCTCTCGAGAATACGCAAAAAATGTTTCTCTGATTTCAGCAAAAAATATTTCTCAAATTTTCTCTATATTGCATAACTAATCATTTCACGATCAGAAATACAACACGTTCGGTAACGAATGCCGACATTTGCAAAGAACCTTCCACGTTATCATAAGATATCATTGTTGTCATAAGACTTATTGCCGCTGAACACATTTCGCCACGCTCCATTTTGCATACGATGATGTCAGGAACATAAGTATTTCTTTTAATGCTTGTATATTCATGGAGACCGTTTATCGATGTGACTAAGGTACATAAGCTCACGCGGCGTACGTAATACATACGACCAGTGCGAAATGCATCGGCGACGACAGGTGAGGACGGCATAATCGACAGCCACGACGATCGCTCGTAATAATTAAAAAGCAGCTGACCTGACATTTGCATAAAAGCGAGGGCAAGTATGTGCGATATGCACCCGTGGCGCTTTTTGATCGGCTCCCCTCGATCGTATTGCGCGTAATCGAATGCAATCAGAGCCAATTGCATCTCACGCTCACGGCGGTTTTCACGTCCAAAGCGGTTTCCGTCCGAATTGATTCCATTTGCTATACAAATATGCGCAACTATGTTATGTAAAGCTGTTTTTAGAAATTCTCTGATCCGGACGAGATCCGCCTCACGAACAAATGTTTTTAACAGAAACGAAATTATCGAAAAAAATATTCGATTATTGAATACAAAATATAAATATAAATAATAAAAATATAAATAATAAATAATGACAATTTTTTTTACGAATAAATTTTTCTTCTATTCGTTATTCAATCTACGGAAGAAAATCAAATTTTAACGGAGTTTTATTTTAAAATACGGTTATTCAGGATATTTCATACTAAAAACAGACAAATTTCACACTGAAGAAATAAGTTCATATAGAGGTTTATATGGAGCGCCGCGGCGCTTAGGCGCCACGTATTCTGGAGTGACGCCAGCATTATGGATTTCGGGAAATACCCCGGAGATGTTTCTCAGCTTCTCCTTTTTTCTGCGTTGATCAACGAAAAGATCGGCTTCGTATTTTATTCATTATTGTCTCGTTTACTTCCGCGAATTGCCAGAAAGGTGGACTTTTCGCAAAAATCTCTGCAAAACTTGAAATAATCGAAAGTGACATGTAAACATGTAAACAATGTAAACAAGTTTTTCGTCAGAGAAAAAAATAAATTCATAAAAAAATTCTAAAAATAAGATAAACTGCGCAGATAAATAATTGATGGAAAATTATTTTGTAACATAGAATGTACTTTTTCTTGTAATTCTCCTTTTCCTTGTTTTTCTATCAACGTTATTAATTTAAAAAAATAATTTTAAATACAAAAATTTTAATTTTAAATATAAAATATATAATATATTTTTATTTCTTTCAACAGTTAGGTTATCAGGCGAATATGCAAAACACTAATAATATTGATAAAGATAACAAATTCATTCGATCTCTAACTAAGTTTAAAGCGACATATATGGAAGAGTCGTTGAAAATTAAGTTTGTGACTTCTACCATTTGCAATTTTCGAAGAAAATTCTCGAAAAGTTGAGTTAAGGGGGACTACTGAGTTAAAGTTCTCGAACGAGATTATATCTAAGAGAGTTTGAGGGATATTTTATGTATAATATATATAAAAAGTTTTGTGAGTCGATTATGCTACGATTCTTAAATATAGGTTCTTAGTGTAATCTTCAAAATTTCTAATTAGATGATTCGAATAAATTATATTTTGTGCGAAGACAAGAAACGGCCAATAATATAAATAATATTCATATAAAGAATATTCAGTACAGACGAAGTTTCTGGAATATGTCTGTATAAAATTTGTATAAAAATGTAAATTTGCTTTAACATTGTTTATCATTATTTTCAGAATTTTATAAAAACATCATAAAATAATATGACGTAATATGTATCATAATATGCCACAGTAAATGTTATTACCTAATAGAGACTACACTATCCTTCACATTTCTTTTTATCTGCGATTAATGAATAAGGATAAAAAATTACACAATGCAGCATAATATGTGCGATGAGGTGAATGATAAGAGTGAGTCAGAAACATTAGTATTTAATGTTGCGTATAAAATAATTATTTCCTTCCTTTTGATATTTCTTTTGATAAATATAATAATAAAATTTCCTCATATTTAGAATATTCTTGAATTTATTATCTTGATAAAATCGTTGAGAAAATATATATGTATATACAAAAGAACGTTACATCATCTCCTTTATAAATATTTAGAGATAATCCATTGAAAATATTTCAGAAAATCACTGTGTCAGAGTTATTATAATTTAATGAGCAGAATTCAAAATTTTTACTAAAAGTACTGGAATATGCATATTTTTACATGATATATACGCTTAAAAAGGTATAAAATCTTGAATTTTGACTTTTTCTACGTCATAAGCTGGATAATGATAATTAATATTTTTTGATCTTGTGTCACAAAATCTCGTGAAATTTCTTTATAGAACTTGAAATTTGTATGAAATTATTACGAAATTTTTCGAAAAACGAATACTTTTGCATGAAATACTCGTATGAGGATAAAGGTACGTCGCATACATACGCAAGCGAGACTGGTAATTGTTTTGCATTATAATTATCAGCGTTGTTATAAATACGCCGAATAAGCGACACGGAACCCATTAGTTCAGTACGTTTTTGCGTGTTTGTATTAACGCTTGTTAGAAACATGGAGCAAGGATATAAAAATTTGCATTTCTTGATCTTAATACTGAGCATATTTATCATAGCCTGCATCCAAGCTGGTAAGTTGAAAAAATAATAATTAACATATTACGCTCATTGAGATTTTTTTTCTCTCAGTTATATAATTTGTTATATAATATGAATATAAGTTTATTTTAAAATTTACATTTCCATCAAGATTGGCACAACATAATATCTTGTAACCAAAAACAATTACTATTACTCATTTCAATAAAAGGCAATTTTTTTTAATAAAAAAAAATTTTAAATCGATATTAATATCAGTAAAAAATTTTACATGTTTGTTTCGAAAACTTTATATAACATATGATAAATTATTATTCATAACATTTCACGATCTTAAGTGATTAATATGATTTCAACACATTTTCAGCACCGGACAAACAAAATATTAACGAGAGTGACGAATTTGCGCAAAAGCAAGCTATTACAGAGTTTAATACTTGTTTGCTAAATTCAAATGTTCTAGGATCGTTTATACAACAAATGCAGGAATTTTTTACTGTAATATTCAGATATCTGCCCGAAAATATGAAAACATTAGCAAGTAATTTTATGAACAAAATAGCTTCTGAATTCGTGAACTTTGAAATGAACATAGTAGAAGGTATGATAGATATGGCGCATATGGCAGAAAATATGATAAATGCTTTTATAAGAATGATACCTCTAATAACGTCAATAATGACAATGTTGTCATCAAATTAATTCAAGTTTTAAATTATAAATTCGGCTAATTCTGTACAAAAATCTGTACAAAAATGGCAAGAACATGTTTAAATGTGATGCATTAATAAATGCAGTATTGATAAGACACAATATGACAAGATACAATGTATCAGTAAATAAATATTAATGCAATTTCTTAATGCATTTCGACGCATTTATTTTAACTTAATTTCAACGATATAAATTGATTAATATATATATTGATTATATAAAATGTAATAAAAATATATAACATATGTACCGCATAAAAACAATATGGCATATAGCAAAATGTATTTCTTGAAATATTGTATTTTAAACAATATGTATCACTCAAAAAAATTACACATATTATGGATATAATAATGACAAAATGTTTGGAACCAATTATATGTAAGCTCGACAGTAGTGATGAAACTTCTTGGTCGGACATTCAGTAGATTTCAGTAAATTTCTATGGTCACAAAGGATAAACTCCTGCGGTGAGGCGAGCAAAAACTTTCTTTCTCGTTGAAGGATTTACAGAATTTGGCGCAAAATAGGATTATATAAGCTTTGTTACGTCATACGTAGCATATAAACGTATTATTTAGCAAAGAAAAATATCATTGTTCGACCAAAAGCCGAATTGATTTAGTATTTTAAATAATTCTTTAAGTATTATTTATAGTACTATTTAAAATATTAGATTTTTTTTTACAATAAGATATTTCATCTAATTATACATTTTTATCAAATATTTACGCATTTATTATAGATTATTCATCAGTTAAACTACTTAATAAAAATATTTTTCTAATCTCTTAATTAATGTATCTCTCTACTTATTATTTTATATGGTGTATTAGAATTGGTTACTTATTAATTAATAATTAACAAAAACAGAATGTATATAACGCAATTGCATTTCCATTTGTAAAATGCATATTTATTCAAGAAAGAATAATAAATAAATAATTTTTCATGATTTACGAGCACACATTATTTACAACACTTACTCATCGGTTCATAGTTCGTAAGTATCGCTACAATCTATTATGATGTGACATTTGGCAAGTTGACAATTACAACGAAAACGCATATACATACCCGCACACGTATGTACACATGTATAAACATTAGTGTGTAGTACACGATTGTTTTCTACGAAAAATGAGTGTGCGAGTCGTAAAAACGCGATAATATGAAAATAGATACATATAGAAAACGAGAGATACGTGTTCGCTGGCACGACATCGGCTGAGCAAAAACAATAGTCAGCGAAATACATACATCGCATGTACAGCATGTAACGTCTCAATTTTATATTTGAATGCAAGAAACTGCATTTGACGTATATACGCGTTTAAAGAGTTTCCACTCGACTTGACACGTATATTTCAAAAAGCTATTTCAAATTTAAATTACAAAATTAATTAACAACTGACTTTTTTTTTTTTTAATTCCACGAATTGAAACTTCGCGTGTTCGATCGAAACTGAAAGATTATCTTCAATTAAGTTGTTAAATGGGATACTGTCGCGAGAGAATATCAAACGAACGTGAGGCTGAGAGAAGCTGAAAAGGGATTGATACGCTCAATTGGAGCGTCCGCTGATGAAGAATAAGTATCGTCACGCGATACTTATGGATCATTGGAGGAGATCCCGTTCGGATTCGCGCGGCATCGCGTAGCGCCTTGCGAAAGTATATTTTCGATCGGGATTGGCAATTTATTTATCGTCGGGCAATCACGCGCCGCGCGCATGATGCACGACGCTCGGAGATACAGAGAGGACGGAGATCCCTTGAACCTGCGGGGGAAAAGGTTAAACAGGCCGGGCATGATAGCGTCTCTCATTTATTGGATCCCCCTCTCGGAATGACCGACACTGTTAACGTCGCGATTCTTTGGACCCGCACTCGTCATCGCGGTTTGCGAAAAAAATTACACATGTCGCGAATCCATCGACCGCGCGTTAGGAATCGTGACGTGACGGAAAACATTTGACTGCCTGGGCATTGACGCATCGGTGCATCATCCATGATCCATCCATTCGATTTGCGTGATATTTACTCTTGAAAAATACTTCCAAATACTTTCAGTTTTGGGACAGCGTTAACAAAGTTGACGGATATACATATATATAATTCAGCATTGCGCTAATAATCAGATAAATTCTGCTTGGGTCGTCTTGACTTAGGCAAGTCAATACTAGTTCTTTCCGACGAGCGATTCTTCGTACGCTACGTCCGAGTGATAAACGATAAATAAAACAAACGAGGCAGACTTTTTGCGCAACGGACCGTGGACGGCGCTAATTGATTCGAATCTTTGTGAAAAATTTCACGGGCGGGATTGAGTGCGAAAAACTCGAGTAAATGTTTGACGCGAACATTTCGAAAATGAGAAAGGTAGATTAATACCGAGTTACAGACGGTCGATGACGACGGAAAATTTCCTAGTTTGCTTTACCGGTCATATAATAAGGCGTTTGCGGCATAGCGGCATTTTAATCATGGAGTCCGGTGATGTATGAAATATAGTTCCGCCGCAGTAAGTTCATTCGTACAATTATAAAATAAAATATTATTTAAATTATATTAATTTAATTATATAAAGAATTTATTCTTATTATTTCATTTTATGATATTAATATAATTTAAATTTTTTATATAAATTCTTTCTCTCTTTATTTAAATTCTTTATGTAATTAAATTATATAATTAAATATAATATAATTCTAAGATCAAATATACTGACTTATAAAATCAGAAGCAATAAATGTTTTATGTTTTACGTATAAAATAAATAAATCATTAATTAAAAAGTAAAGTTAAGTGTACAAATAAATAAATAAAGATTGATAAAAAAATTAATATTTCAAGATTTTTATCTTTTATTATAAAAAATGAAAAAAAAAAGAAAACATCTTTTACGTTTAAACTTTTATAAAATATTACAAATTTATTATTTTAAAATTAGCTTGAGAGCCATATTCAGTTATATCCGCGTATTAAATGTTGACTTTTTTTATTAACTCATATTTGTTGCGACATAGTATTATATAGTATATACCAATCAGCTTATTCGCAGCCTCGATACCGATGTAGGTCAATTAATTCAAAGTATCGATTTTCTTTGAGAAACAACGACGCTCTCAAGGACATCCTTCAAATTGGCTCTTCTGTAAATTGACTGTTCTGTTCTCTGTGAAACCTTGCTTCGTCCAAATGTGTTTGATCAAAGTTACATGAAACACGTACATTTGCATATGTAATATCACCATAAATCCTTTCCTGCTCTCGAAGGAAAGCTGAGAGTTTCGAAATATTACGTTAAGTTGTGCATGGGGTAAAGCCCATTTTTATGTTGACCTTTCCATGCGATTACCATCAAGCTGAAATGAACTTTACGAGCGCTATTCAAAAGGATACGTCGTTACGAATATACGCGTCGCGGTAAATGCAAATCACAGAAATTTCAAGGAGTTGCTGAGTATCAAATCAGGAGGTAAATAGTATACGTGAAAATGCAGAATACGCTGAATCCACGAAATCGCTATTTTCTGGTTGACGGGCACTTCCCCGCAGAGCCGCATGTGCGCCAAGTGTGAAAATAAACCGTAAACATACTCCACTCCAGACGCATAAATAAATCGGCATAAATCTGCCGAAGTGAATGTATTTCAACGCGAGAGGATAAGTGTAAGCTTTGAAACACTTGAATAAATCGATCGCAACTTTGATTTTGCTAAGTTACACAAACGGCAGTGTCCGACTGGAAACATCTAACGAGTTCCAAAAATCTTACTTTAACAAATGTACCATGAATGGATAACTAGCGAGTTTTTTTTTTCCAACTAAAAATACATTTCCAGAAAAGGATTCTGATTTCGTCGTTGTATATAAAGGACAGTATGAAATAAGTAAAATTATTAATTACGAATGTAGGTTTTTTTGTGTTAACAACAATAAATAGCGCGATGCTGTATGACTTTTCAAATGTGGCTACAATATTCGCGACGAGGATTTCGTCGATTACGCACAATGGAATGAATTCCGGCTGAAGTGATCCTATCCAGTGGCAGTCTCACGGAATCGATGGATTTACACACGAGCGCTTTGCGCGGCAGCACTCTCGTCGATCCGCGAACGAGAAATCGGCCTCGGTGTGTAATCAAAGTGCAGCCTCAACGATTCGGTCACGTGCACCGCGCTGTCCGATATAAATCCGGACGAAACCTCAGCGCTTTAATTTATCGCGTCCGCCGCTTTCGTGATGGAACGGGCCATTCTGGGTGAAGTTCTGATAAATACGAAAAATTCTGCCCGGGCGACAGCCCCGTAGGCTATTAGCAGATCTGCAGTTCTCTGCTTTCAGTTGAAAAAAAGTACGAGCGTTGATTCTTTCATATCATACAGTCAGGTCAAGGTAATGCATTTGTGAGGCAAGAGACAGTGATCCAGTAGATTTAATGGAAAGATTAAAATAAAAAGTACAAAAAGTATGAAGAAAAATATTCAAAAAGTATTTCAAGAAAAATTAACAAAGAAATGTGTCAATCGAAGAGGCTCAACCGTTTTTCATAAAAATGAAAAAAATAATCATAAATGAATTATTATTTATGAGATAGAGAGAGAGAGAAAGAGAGAGAGAGAAGAGAGAAATCATATCTTGAAATATAATTTTTCAGAATAATAAAAAAAAAACAATAAAATATCTAATAAATAATAAATAAATGACATAGCTAATAATAATGAAAAGAAAGTGTTAAAATGATATGTATTTTATGCAAGCTTAATTACTCTGTTAGTAATAGTATTTAATAATTTTCTATTAGACAACTTTTATTAACTTTTTAATTCAATTTATATCAAACACAAACTTCCATCGAAACTTATTTTTCTTTAAGTGTAATGGCAATTTTTTCTTTAAGTGTAATGGCAACTCCGATACGTTTTTATTATAAATCTTTATGTAACAGCCATGATAATACGATAAATGATGCGATATATTTATTGTTAGTAAAAGGAAACAGCATATTTTTAAAATCGGACACTAAAAAAATACTAAGACGTATTATAGAAATTAATATTTAAACATCTATCTATTTGTTAACCGATTCGTTAACCAAATTGTTAACCGATAAGAACAATTAGAATGAGTCACGAGTATACAGTACAATAGCATTACTGTATTTTAAAATGTCATTGTTTAAGTGACAAGGTTAATGAAAAAGCTGCTATATATAAATTCAGTAACAAGAATTTCATTATTTTAGAATTAAAATTTTCACCTTTTAATTTTCTCACATGAAGGTAACATTTTGTTAAAATTAATTATTCAAAATACCTACTCTTCCAATAATTATTTTTGCATTGCATGACACACACACACACACACACACACACACACACACACACACACACATTATATCTCATTTTTTTAAACAGTCAAGCATTTGGAAATTAGAATCGTAAAAAAAATGTTTTATACTTTAGTATTTTTGTGTACAAAATAATGAAACAAATAAATTAGTATAGAGAAAATAGATAGTCGTAGTAAATAGTCGAAAATAGTCATTTTCTAAAAAGAGTATGTATTGGCATATTTCGCTAATTGTATAATTTTTTTTTTAACTACGTATCTTTTTCATGTCAATTGATTCATCTCATTATTCTATGCATAAAAGTATTAAGGTACGATTATAAAACAATGAATAGTTTACGATATATTTTATTTTGGAATATGTTAGAATAAAATATAAAATATCTTGTAAATTATTGATTTTTTGACATTTGTCAAACTTAATATCTTTATATACAAAATAACTACAGGAATCATATTAATAAAAAATATATGAGTTTATTTAAGAAAGTGGCAATCATAAAAAATCTTGATAATTGTCATCTGTGAATGATTCAATATCAATTATGTGGCCTTATCGAAACCATACTTTTGAAACATTTTTTTTCTACAATTCCGTAATTTTTAAATATCTAATTGTTTAAAATAAAATGGAACTCTGTATATATAAAAATAAATATAACAATTCTTCCATCTTAAAATATGGAAAGAATAAAACAAAAGAATAAAATAAACAGCATCACAGTTCAATTTTTTCAATAAAAATTTTTCAATAAAAATTGAAAACAGCATGATAAATCGACACAATTTTCAGTCATGAAAGCAATTCAATGTCATATATATATAGGAAAAATAAAAAAAAGTTCAATAAAAAACAATTTTTAAAAGTCATTCTATTCACTATTGCTTGTCAATAGCATGTAAAAGTTTCTATCAAAAATATTTAAGCTTGATGTACATTAAAAGTTGTTTTTCTTCGTTAAAATAACAAGACGTGCAATAAATAATTGAAAAAAAGATGTTTGCCTCCGTAGTACTTTAATTTAAATATTTTTTTAACATTTTTTTTAAACATTTATTCTTTAAAAAACTAATTTTAATTCTGAATAATAATAAATTATTAAAAAACTGCCAGCTTTTTCTGTGTGTTACTCATAAGGATCGCCTTAATTTATCAGCGTCTGGACTTTCCTTTTCTAAACTGATTTACGCACGTCGCATTTTGCTTTCAGAGCGCATTCACATGGACGTACGTTCGACAAATAAGGAATATCGTGGTTCTTACGTGCGTCATACGTGCTCAGAACAAATGAATAACTCTTTCTTTTCTTGACGAGAAGAAAGCAGAGCTGACGCAGTGTCAAGGAGTTCGCGCCGTTAGTTCGGACTACGAACGTAATAGTCCGGATCGTATAACGGTGTGGCTAAAAATGGTGTGCATTTCGCTCGTTCGCTCGTACCGCCTGTATTTATGCAAATGAATAATTCATAAGATGAGAATAAGCATCGGATATTTGGGTCGCGGGTAGAGAAGAAGAAAGGCCACCATAATGAGTGAAGAACCAAAGGGGCACTTTCGTTACATTTTCCACGCATATATAAAGAGCGAGCTTGTGATTACGTAGTTTAATAAAAACTCGAATACGCTTCTACGCGAGCGGTTGTAATAAATTATTTAAAAAGTAAAAAGGATGACTTGAGAAGACGGTCAAACAATAGAGACAACAAAGCAGAAAAAGCATAATTACTTTCCGCAAATATATGAAGAAAAATATTGCACCGTTATTATACGTCGCTCCACTTAAGAGGATAATTATTTATATTCATTTATATTCATTTAGTATTAATACTTGATTTTTTGCTTGATTCTTAGTTCTACCGTTTACAAGTACCGTAAGTAACTTTGTAACGAGCTTTTAAAAGAGCTTACGAAGCTCGTTGCATATTAACACTTTGTTGCAAATAGCAGGAATTACAAAAAGCGACAGAAAATTCGCTAATTTCATTACGACGACAATTAAAGGACTACGACGAAGATAAGAGACGGAAAATATTTAATAATTTCTTCATCACTGAGACTAATGTGGTGACTTGGAAAAAATAGAACTTTTGCTTAAATCAGTTTCTTTCTTTCAATTACACATTACGCTAAGTCGGTATTCATCTTTAGAAAAGATATTAAAGCTTTTCTGCGAACAAATCATCTCAAAAATTTGCAGTAAATTTTGTATATAATAGGTAAAATAAATCTACATAATTCTTTACGTTTTAACCTTTTAAACCTTGTTTAAAGGTTTGTATTCCTGTTTTCTAATAAAAGTTTCAAAAGAAATTTAGGTTAATTGAACACCTACACTTGCACACGTAGTTTAATCAAAAGAGTAAAAATATCGTTGAAAAAATCGATTTAAATCTGGAGAAAAAAATGCAATATTGCACAATCGAGAATAAAAATCAAACGATATTTTTGCCAGATTATAGATTAAGCGGATTTGCATCCCGGAAAATTGCGCCGTCACATTCGAATTTAAAATTTTAATAACCTAAACACATTTTTATCGTCAAAGAAGTTTCATTATCGTATACGCGTTGGCTCTTGACGTAAACTGTTTAATAAGAAATCTCAAAAAGATTTTCCTGGGAAAAGTGTTCGTACGAAGTAGCTAAGAGCAACGTTCTTTACCTCACTAAATCCTTGCGCATGACGTAAAGAAATAAGATCTGGAGCACGTCAAATCTCGTAATAAATATAGCGCACAAAAGACTATTCTAATTCAAGCGGGGATGACTTCTAGTCTGCGTCAGATAAATGAGAAAAGTTTTGCGCCGAGTTCTCACGAAATTTCGTTTTATCGGGACATTTTCGTAGCCTTGAAAGCTTTTTCGATAAAATGCAGAAAAAAAGAGGAAATGAAAGAAATAATCCCGCTCTCGTTAATTTTCACGAGATAGATTTTTAATTTCTCTCACATCCTATTGCATAATTATGCCAATTTACCCGTTAATATAAAATAGCGACTTTCTTTGCTGCCATTAGAGTTTAAAGAGGAAATAAATTGGTCGCGCTCACATTCAAATGATTCTGTTTTCGCAGTGGCTTTGCCAACCGCGTAGTCGTGGAAATTGGAAATTCTCGCGACCGGAACGCAAACGATCAGCGCGGAAATTGCACGATTAGAAGCGTGTCGTTGAAAAATTGATTGTTTCTATCCACGTATAATAAGTATCTATTAATAGTCAGTAAATAAATATCACCGCCGTATTTAATGCACAAGCGGACTTTGCTGAACTATTTGCAAAACCGCAAATTTAACTAATATTTAAACTTAGTTAATATTTAAACTTAGTTAATATTTGAATTCTCTCGAGGGATGTACGAAATAATCCTTTTACGATCTAAGTAGAAGTTTGGCTTCAGTCTTAACAACTGTGTTCTTGCAAATAAAGCTGTTCATATAATCGAATAATCCATGTTATGTGTCAATTTTAGCGTTTGTAATCTACGCTTAAAAATAGAAAAAAAATAAAAACAATTTTATTTTATTTCTCTCAACATTGAGAAAATAGAAGTGAAGATTAAACATGAAATCAATGACAACAAAATTGAATTTATTTGTAATTATCGATATTTTTTTACAGTGAGTTCGCGTTATAGAACGTTTTTTAGTTTATTGATTATTTATATACAAGAAAAATATAAAATATACTGTCATAAAATTAAATCACAAGGTACATAATTTTAGAAATTATTATTTATATAATTTAAATTAAAATGAGTTTAAAAATTACATTTCCAAGAAAATGACATATATTTACAATTACATTATCTAAATAAATGTAAACAGAAAAAAATAACAAATCTCACTCAAAGTCTGACTTTGTATCAAATGTAATGTTTTTCTTTTTCAGTCACGTTATGTGACTGTCTTTGAGAGAGAAATATATCTAAAAATACAAAGAATTTATTCGATGAATGTTGTGACCTTTTCGATTTTGAAATTGCATTCGCATAATTTCTTCTGCTCAAAATCATTCGAATAACGCATTTCTAAAGCCTGACGGATTCCTCGCTGGGCACGTTGCATACGGGCAGCAATGACGCGAGACAGAAACTCTTTGAGACTTGCAAGGTGTACGAGAAATCGAGCGTTGAGAAAGAACATGTCGCGAAAGAGTACAAAGAGGGAGAAAAATATAAGCGGATAAGGTCGTACCTTCAGGGATGCCATGTCCGACACGGATCGATGCGTCTGAATAGTCTCCAACTGGTCTAAGCACCAGTCTAACTCCTCTATCGTTTCTACAGCCAACTTCATGAAGGGCTCCTCTGCAAAATCCAAAGAAGAAAATTTAATATCATTATCAAAGTGCTCGTATTTGCCTTATCTACTTCTCCCTCTAACGAGCAATAAGTCATCGTTGAGAGATTTTGTCTATCATAGATTATGTCAAATAATTTTAACTCGAATTTCATCGATATTAAAGAAATAACGCGGAACCTTTCTAATATACTTTATACTTTTAAAGCTTTCATTATTTTCAAAGCGTAACACAATTTTCTAAAAATGCATGAGATACGTGAGATATCTTAAGTGCCCTATACAGAATGAATAGCACTTCCGAAAATAAATGATATTTTAGGAATGAAATGGAGAAAGGAAACGATAATATTCCACAAGAAGATAGCTGGAAACATTCGCACGGCAATCATAATAATGAACATATTCTTCAAGAGGAAACTAATGGAATTGATTAAAAGCTTTACAATTCTCACGAAATGAGTACTGTAGTACCACAATGTGATCCAGAAACAAGACATAAAATTCTTACCAAAAAGAAGGTCGCTAAAAGCTTCGAAAATTAAGAAAAGATGAAGTTACCACTTGATAAAATATTAATATGAAAAGACAAAATAAAGTTTTTTTGCATCTTTGAGAAAAATTGAAGAGCTAAAGTTTCGATTGTTTGTAAAAATTTCTGAGAGATTTCAAATAAAAAGGCAATCAATGGCAATCAGTTTGATAAATATATAAGAGGCCGACTCAAATAGGAATAATAAAATTAACAGAAATATAGGAATTATTGGAATAATTATTTGGTTGTTGATACAATAACGATCATTAAATTTTATTTAAAGAAAAAATTTTCCGCATATTATTAATCAATATAAATCAAAGAAAGTAATTAATTGTTTTCAATTCCAGTATATTAAGTCAAGTTAAATAAATATTAAATTTCCAAAGATTTGAGAAGTGCTAATATTCTGTATAGATATATCAATTAAATATTATCCAAATAATGGAAATAATGGAAATATGAAGTGAATTATAATATAAATTATTATATTGTCTTTACCTCCTGGCGCCAAAATCCGTGGCTGTGGCGTACTACTGCCCTGTTGGCCACTACTCCTTCGTGATCTGCAAACGACGAGAGAGAGAAATAAATGAAAAACACGAGTTAACTTCACATCATAACGATACTAAAAATAAAAGAAGATTATTCTACTTACTTGTTCGTCGGTACATTCGTGAGCGACAAGAAATTATTCCTGACCGAGCGCAGAGAAGCAAGAATCTGTGCGAAGGGTGTAACGATGAGGTCCTCGCCATGGCTGCAATCGAAAAAGAAGGAGAGAACAGTTCATCATTGATGTCTCATTGTCTTACGCATGTGTTAGGAGGACAAAATTTTAATGGCTACGAATCAGTTGCCAGAAAAACCAGCGTCTACTTCGCTTTGCGTAAGTTGCATGCAGGTGCGATAGCTTGATAATGCCGTAAACATGATTTCTCTTATTTCCGCCTCCACGCTCGTATACATTAAATATGTACAACAGATACAGAGACACACGTGCATACATTAACGCGCAAAAATCATCGGACCGCGGAGGATCAAGGGAAAGAGAAAGAAAAGTCGGAGCGTTTTTCCACGAAGGGCACGAAGGATTTCGCGCGTAAAACTTTAATTCAATAAACTTGCATTCTTTCGACGATGAAAAGTAATACGTTGCCTTGCGTGAGAGTGCGCTGTAGTTCGTAACATTCAAATAAACTGTACTTTTCGGTATGCCAAAGATAAAAGCGAATTGCGACGTGTTAATACGCAGAAAATGTATCTTCAGTTGTTGAGAGACATTGCGGAGCTTCTCGCAAATCGAATTTCACAAAGCGAATTTCGTCGTAAACAAATTCCGAACATCGTTCTTGCGAAACAAATATATCCGATCGGCGACTGACGAAAGATTACGTTCAAATTCGACGTTACGTTAAAGGAGCCGCGATATATTCCGACATATATTCCCAATTTTATTTATTATCATTCGTGCGATCGTACGTAAAGCGGCCTTGTTTATTATATCCACTCGATTTCAGGCATACGGCGAATATTTCTGTTTTAGCGAAATTGGATGCCACAACGGATATGCCATGTGTCACCGTCGAATTTTATCCTTTTCCATCTTCGCACAAGCGGACACATTTTCGGAATATATATTTCCGGTCCACTTTTCTCCGCTTCGCTCGCCATTTTTCCCGAGCGACGTTAAGCGACGTTGTGCTTTCGATTCCTCAGTATATCTAACGTTTACGGTCATACGCTTTACCTTACATGTCCTACTTTTTTTTTTTTTTGCATTGCCGTAGCAGCGCGCGTGCTAATACGGTAATTTAGACGATGTAATCGAGATATAACGCGTGAGTAACGTAATAGGTATCGCGTGTGCACAATTACTTATTTTATATTACTAACGGCAACATTCTGGTGGATACGTGGGTAAACATGTATGCATAATAAACAAGATTATAAAGGATATTGTATCTGACGGGTCTTAAACCCTGTTATGTTGTAGAGGGATAATTAACAATATCTCACGGTACAACAGACAAACATTTATATAACAATATATTTTATATATATAAATTGTTGTTATATATTGTTGTAAATATATATATATATATTTTATAACCAATATATATATATATATATATATATATATATTACAACAATAATATATATATATATATTACAACAATAATATATATATATATATATATTACAACAATATATATATATATATATATATATATCGCTATACATGAAGCAGTGTGTAAAAATTCAACAAATTATATATCCTTTCAATCTCTCATCGATAAAAACGACACGAGCTCGAGAATGCGTTCAGAATGCTCAAGTTGCACCACTTCATCTATTACAATTAATTTTACTCTCCGCTGAAAAAATACCCTTCGAAAGACTGCTGCATGTGTCATAATCGATCATTACTTGGAAAAAAAAGAGTCAAGAGTTATTTCCAGATTTAGTTCGCGTACTTCTTTCCTCGTTTCCACGATAGTGTTTCTCGCGCATATTCACCGGTAAAAGAACTATATTACTGGCAAAATTCTGCAAACACACGCTGAGAGAAACTCGCGCACGGGTATAATCAGCAATCATTATTCATCTCTTGCTTTTCCTCTCCTGCTATCCATCTCTCTCGTTGAGGAAAATTACGCTCCTCCCTCAGGAACAATATCGTGGAAGCTGAATAATTTTGGCAGTTATCCGTACCATCTTCCAGCGGAATTACCGCGGACGATTTCTGATGTGATGAGAATCCTCGAAGACGAGATAAACATCGCCGTCAAATTATTATTCATCAACCGCGTTTGTTTAATAATATCAAGAATAGCGTACAAATTGTTACTAAGAAGAGAGTTACAAATAACGCGAACCTCTTTAATGCTATGTTAACTCAGACAGAAACTGCGCGTTTTTATTTACGTTGTAATAAAATAATTATATAAGGATAATGAAACGCTGTGTGTTGAATTTTATTATTATTGTTACACTCCGACAGCTCACCAAAACATCGCACGCATAATGTAAGCCAACTTAATAATTATCATCATTATATAATTATGATAAGCTCATACATATTTTCTATATTTTTGGATATAATACCTCAATTTGTTTAAATTGGAAAATCATATAAAGATTGATTATGTTTTTTGTTGCATTTAATGTAATGTATTGTGTTTGTGTAGAATTCAGGACGCCTTTATTACAAAAGATTAATAGATTAATTATAATAAATTTGTCTTAAGTTATTTCCTGATAAGTTACTTCGTAAAGGATTTCTTGCTTTTGGATATCATGTTAGTTGCAATGTGCAGATTTCGATCTAAAATTAAACGTAAATGGCAATAGAGAGGATCACGCGATCCGCAAAAGCTCATTACTTAATACGAACAATAATTAGCGACGTATGTATCCTCCTATTGCCCCGTTGATAATAATGACATTAATACGCTGATTAAGTTGAGATATGCGCAATTCCAGAATGTGGAAAGGATTGCACAAACGAATAATCCTAATTAATTGCAAACATCAAACGAGGTACAGTCAGAAAAAGGACCTTTTCACAGGAAGCAAAAATAAATTGTATGCCAAGAGAAATGCGTCAACAATACGCACACTGAAATTAATTAAATTAAAACGTATAATATATATAGGTTAATTACATTACATAGCAGAAAATTTAAAAGATAATATATTCGCGCGAGTGAATGTTTTTTTAAAAAATTTTTCATAATTTATAATAAAGTTAAATACATTACGGAAGATATTTATAGAAAGATAGATAATATTTAGTATTTCTTAGGATTAGAATAATCTTTTGATACGCAATATATTGCGTATCGAAAGATTATTGAATATATTTTAATTAGAATTATTTTATATAGAATTACGTAAGCGGATATGTATAATAGCATGCATATATGTTACAGAGTCGAGCTCTCTTCCCTATGAATATCACAGAAAGGTCATAAGTTACGGGAAATGCCGATGGAAAATCGTCTTCTCTATTACGCCGGCACTACTCGTTAATTATTTAAAAAATAACTTTATATCGATCAAAACGCCCGCAATCACTTGTTCATCGGATGTCAGTAAATAAAAAATATCACAATTTTCCGTGCCATTTAAATTGACAATTTAAATAAATTTATTTATTACATAAAATAACAGCGAGAAAATTATTTAAAATTGTGTCGCTTCGTTACAAATTTTTTTTTTTTTCATTCTCTAGAAATGAAAATAAATGCAAAAATAAATACAAGTTTTTCGCAGTGGAAGGTGGGAAATAAGTTTTATCACAGTGACTTAATTGTAATTCGTATTTCTGTTTCACTATGAAAAAAAATATCGAGTGGACAAAGAAAAATAATTTCTTTATCCTTTTTCGCACGATAGCAAAATACTGCGATGTGAAATAAGTCTTACTTCGATATTCAAACGATGAGAATAATAAAAATGTAGCTCTTGGCATAAAAATACAATTACATTAATACATTTTTTTTTATCAAAAAATACATTATCGCTGTAATATCTATTGCGGGAAAAGTTCGCAAATTATAGAGGAATTCCATCTTGACTCGTACATACACACACACAACACACACACACACACACACACACACACACACACACACACACACACACACACACACACACACACACACCATACACACACACTAGTATACGCGAACTAACATTGTGACAGCTCAATCTATTTCGTGCCAAAAAGAGGCGTACGTTACAAGTCAGAGAGACGGGCTTTTCAAAATATATATTTTATACCGACATGTTTCTTCTGCCACCGTTTCTAAAAGAAGCGTACGACGATCGAGCAACAACGACGATATCACGGGGAATGCTTTAGGAACAAGATTAAATTTCATATATCTGCCATGCGTCATCGGTCTACATCACGATATAAGAATGTTTTCGTAAGGTCGACGTTATAAACCTGAAAAATAAATAAGCTCGACGTATTCGAAATGAATTCGGTACGAGTAAACTCTTGGCGGTATCACTGGCAAAGGGCCACTCCGAGGAAGTAAAGTCTTAAAAAGGCTCATCGTTAATTCTCTTTAAACGTTCGAAGAGTAAACACGAGGGAGTGCTCGATAGTGGCGCGTGTCGCGAGTGGAATCGTTGAAAGAACTGACGAAAAACATACGAGGACGAAAACATACGAGAATACGACATTCCGCAAATTCCTCGATAAACAGACGACTTTTCATCTCGTCGCAGGTCAGACACGAGCGACGATAAATTCCGGGTAAACTGCGGGTGGATAATCGCGCAATCATGACTGCGAGCGGATTTGAAATTCGGCACGTGTATGCGAGGCGCTAATTCAGGCAAATAAAGCGAAAATTCGAAGCGTATAAACAGCGACGTAGGAGGGGCAATAATATTTGTTCTTCCTCTAATTTTGCTTTCTTTTCTCCTGCAAAACACTCGTGAGCTATAAAATTTGAAATGCTACTTCCTATATGCTAAACATGATGACATGATTCTTTCCTTCATCTTCCCCTTCGAAGAAGAAGAAACTCGAAAAAGAACTCCCAGGATTTTATATGAAAATTATTACGTATTCGACAAACTTTTGGCACAGCAGGAGTATTTTTTACTCACATATCCGACTTTTAATTACCTTTTCTTTTATTGAGCTCGTCTAGTTTTACTGCTCCGTCGATACGATTTACATTTCCATTTTTTTGGAAAATAGAACAAAAAAAGGAATATTAACAGATAAAATATCAT